AATCAGGCAGGGGGTGAGGATACTACAGAGGTGACACCCAGCAGGTGTGTTGTGCAAAACCCTGCATGAATTGTATGCTGATGTTGTGTAACTTAGCTCTATGTTGTGTTGCTTGTGTTGAGGAATGCAGGAATGTAAATGCATGAGCTAACCATGTTTTGATCAACTGTGATGCACTCATGTTTTAGGGGTATTAATTAGGTAGTGTAAAAATGAATAGTGTCTCTCCATAAGTTGAGTGAAGAATGGATGACAACTGTCAGGTGAAAAGAAGTTGCCAAAAACAAACACCTCTGGACAGTACAGAATACATGGAAAAACGCGCCGCTCAAATTTATCCGCCATCGGCGCGTGTTTGCTAGATTTACGAAAAAATCGTGCAGGATTGGAGTGGACGTGTTTCTAGGATAAAAAAACGTGTGAACTTGCTCATGCACATGCGCAGTTGCCTGGAGCACATCCGAACAAAGCAGTGGAGTGTGAGTACCTTATTTTGGAATACTGTATTATTAGCAGTTTGTAGGTGTTATGTAGGTTTTTGGTATGCACATAACCATAGATATAACATATGAATGATTTGTACATGTTTGGCAGTAGTAGAAATATGTTTCTAGCACTTGTCTTTTTTAGTTAGAGCGGCGTGTTGTCTATAGCGCGTATTACACGCCACGCGCGTACGTAAATACATAAATACGCGCCATCGCTGTGTGAAACTCTGCATTCATGCGCGTGAAACTTTTGTAAGTACGGTTTGGCGTGTAAAAGCGCGCACGCAACCCGCGCGTGTGCGTGTTGGGCTTCGTAAATCACCCCCTATTTCTCAGAAAGACATTGATAAAAAATATTTGCTATTACTATGAATTATTTCTAAAACTCTGCAAACCATGTAATGCAGCAGTAACAATGCTGACAGGCAGGCTCCCTGCAACATGTTTTCATACCAGTGTAATGCAAGCAGGCAAAGCCTGCAACTCTGAATTCACGAGCAGTGCAGCATTGCTGCCATATCAACACAAGAAGCTGCATTAGGTGGACTTCACTGGCAGGCTCAACAAGCATTCAAGGGATTTTGCATGGACAGTAAGAGAAAACCGTGAGTGCAAATGCACTTATAATTAGTACTCCAATACACATTCGTAATGGAAGGCCATCATTCTACTTCAAGAGTATCAGTGCCAGTATGTAGTTTGGAAAGTGCTGCAGAGGTTTTACACAGGCCCTCAACTTTAATCCAAGACCTTATTTATTTTCAGCAGATCAGTAAAGAAAAAAAATAGAAAGAAGAAAGCTTTACATTATCTTTTAAGTGGCAAGCAAGTATTAGGAAGTCTTTTTTTTAAATAAATCTTTATTTAACTGTTTTCAAAAGCATATTAGAAATACAAGTTATATATAGAGATAAACATAAATCAGAAAACAGGAAACTCAATGGAATGTTCCATGTCAGTCGGGGGCCTCCTCTATAGAGATTCTGATTCTGCTTAATATTTTCGGATTAAAGGTGTGGCATCTTTCAATTCAAAAGAGTGTAGATAGTCTATCATGGCTACAGAAAAAAGTTAAATGAGATTTGCAGAGAGAACCTGCTTACTGCAATTGTGTCGAAAACACTGTTTGGAACCTCAAAAGCATGGCAGCCAAGGGCTTCCCAGAGTTCAGGGGCTACACCTATGTGTTAAAGTTGTAATGCTGACTTATATATCTATATTTAAAACTGGTTTACTATAGAACATCCCAACTCCATGTAGAAATATTAAATTGGAGTCAGATTTTATTTATAATATATATTTAATATTTGGGGGCGATTGTGTACATTTTACACCAGCCCTTAGTATAGCTAGTTCAGGGTTTAGAGATTATATATTTAGATTTCTTCCTTTCCATTCTAAAGTGTAAATTTGTGCTGAACAGATCAGCACTAAAGAAATACAATTTACAAGATTATGAAAAATGTTTTTTTTAGGTACCATTAAAACATTATATTTAAAAAAAATTATACATTTATTTAGAATAGTTACATACATAGTTTTTATGTATCTATACTAAATAACTTTATATATTCTTTAAAAGAATGACGTTTTAATGGCACCTTAAAAAAAAACATTATTAATATGTGTAGATTGTATTGATTTGATCCAGGGGTGTGGTGCCCAGGTCACCCATCAAACCAATGAAAACCTGGCCAGGGCTAGCTTTGAACAAATATAGTAGAGGTTTATTCTCACCCTTAACTAATATGGATTCTTGTATCCATATGCGTTCACTCTGGCAATGAGATAGGTTCCCTCAGGTGTCTGATGCATGGCCTTAATATATATGGTGATAATTTGGTACAGTCTCTGCAATCTGCACTTAGATTAGAGTAATAGACAACTACATTTCCATAGAAATCAAATGGTCAGCCAATGATGGAGTAGCTACTATAGATTAAAAATACGTTTAGACCTGTTCAAGAAACAGTGCAACAAGGATGTGCAAATGGTGGCAAGCAGTGGCGTAACAATCGCCATAGAGACCCAGGCGGCCGCTATGGGGCCCAGGGCACGTCGGGGCCCGGCCAGGACATCTCCCTGATGCCGTGCGGGCCGCCTGGGTCGCTATGGCATCTGACTCGGACAGCCAGGCTGCTGGCTGTCACTGGCGGCTGTGACGAGGAACGCTCCGTTCCTTCTCACAGCCGCTGCTGA